ACACACACACACACACACACACACGATATATTAACTATTACGTAATATTATATTATATATTACATGTTAATAATTGTTAATATCGTTAACAAAATGTAAGGAAATTTAATTGGATTAGAAATTCATTCGACCTTGCACTCTGGTTATTAATCACGGGAACAGAATTTCACATTGATTTCCACAGCATTAGTCACGTTAGCCCTGTATTAACATATACAATTAAGTCAACCCCATTTTCTCGTGCGACCTCACACTAATCGACGATCATCACCGTTCAAAGAGCATCGAGTCCTTTCGGGCAAATCGACGGTCTTTCTTGTCAGTTCGACGGAGACTCTTCCGAGTGACGGTTCTTCGTCACTGTCACTCGCGATCGATCGATCAAACCGATATCTCGTGTACAATTCTCTTGAAGTTTTTTTTGTTCGTTGTTAGGAATATTTGTCTTTGAATTCTACGAGCAATCGACAGGATCGACAAAACAGTCGGGGGCGAGTGTAATATTTTTGAAATTTTAAGCTTTGATATTTGGAGTGGAAAGTATGTCGAGCCGCGAGTGAAAATTTTGTTACTTTGTGCGGCACGTGTGTGGTTTCGTACGAAAATATTTTGATACAGAGATAAAGATGAGCTGTGTCAGAAACGATGCCAGTATCGCGGATATCATTAAAAATCGTGGGTGCTATGTTGTGAAAGTTTTTTTCAGAAACTCTGTCAGATAGATCATTAATTTGCGTCAAAGTAAAGTTCTCTTTATTCTACGTTTGAATTGACGAATTCACCAGATGAATAGTGATGTTATATATTTATAATATATACTTTTCTAGACCTCTATTATTATTTATATTATAATAGTTAAATTTGTCTTCAAAGTAAAACTTCCTTTGATAAATTTGAAGAACAAGTGGTTTTTAAATTATTAAAATTTTGTCAAGAATTCTGTCGAATATTATACAGTGATGATACCTCGTTTTAAATAAAAATTTGATGTATTTTAAATTTCATTTTACGAAACAAACAAATAATACACTTTACTATTAAAACTTTTTAAATTATTAAAAATTTTCTTGAAAACTCTGCTAACTAAGATTTCTAATGAAATAAAAGTGGTAATATTTCAATTCGTCTTAAAAATAAAATTTTGTTTGTTTTGAATTTTAATTGACAGATTTACAAAATAAATAGTAATCTTACATATTTATATTATTAGAATTATAAATAATATATACATATATATTGCATATATAATATAAAAAAATATATATATAATTTTTAAATATAAATATATATTATCAAAGCTTATTAAAGCTTTTCTAAATTATTATCACGCACAGTGACATACATATATAGTACAATTCGTACGGAAATAAATTCTTAATCTTTTAATTGATAAATTTATGAAATTTATATTTTCACACTAACCATTATGGAATAAACGTGGCGCGAATATCACAATTTTTCTTCAGAGGACATTTGTCAATTTTTTAATATATATTTTGTTGTACAAAGTGACTTGTAGGAAACATTCTTATTTCACGACGATAAAGATTTTCGCTGAACATCTGTTTTCGTCGATATCTCTATTCGCAAGTATATTATTCACGCGATAATCTTATTTTGTAAATTTCGCAAAAACGAGAAATTCCTCCCTCGTGGAAACGTATACGACGCGTGATTGATCCGTTAACAAATCAAAACGATCATCCTATCGATCACTCTGATGTTAAACCAGATAACAATAAATCATTCTTAACCGTTCGAAAATAAACTATATCCGGCTTTTTTTTTTTAGTTACAATTCAAGAAGAACACTTGCTAGACACAGACAGTCGATAAAAACGTTGTTATTTCACAACCACTTTTGAAAGAGTGTACGTATTTCGATTCCATCGAGGAGCTGAAGAACGACGTTCCATAATTGCCATTATATAATTGAAATACCTAGCATTTTGCTCGAACAAATTAATGCAAAAAATAAAATGCATTTACGTCGTCTTCGGACAATTTTTTTGTTTTTTTAATCTTTCTTAATAAATCGTGTTGCATATCGTGTCGTCAGTTGGTTAATAGAATTTGTATATTTATTTATATCGTGATTTAGCGTAATTCTGATTTCACAGAGATATTTATAATATTTAGGTGAAAAGGTAAGGTACATATGCGCTAGTTGTAATATCTAAAAATAATTCATGTAACATCATTTATTTTTAGTTATTCTTAATTATTTTTTAATTTATTTCAGTAGTAATTTGGTTTTTACTTTTTTTTTAAATTGAATTTTCTTTAATAATAATTAAATTAATAATTATTATTATAAAATTAAAATTAAAAATAATTATAAAATTAAAAATTAAAAATTAAAAAATTATAAATAAAAATTAAAAAATTATAAAATATAAAATTAAAAATAATTAAATTAATAATTATTATTATAAAAATAATAATTAAATTCTAACGAGAGTTAACTAGATTTTGTTTTATTATAAGGAAATCTCTTTCGTTATGTTTGTAAAGTAATTAAGAATTTAAAAGGTTGATATATGTTGGATGAATTTTTCTTTCTCTTTTTTGCATAATATAAAGAAGAATAATTTCTTATCCTTTTATTTTAATAATAATCAAATCTTTCGCTGAATCATTCAGAGCGACAAAGGAAATATAATTATCACAGTGTCTGAAATACTTATCAGCGTTTGACTTCGAGGCAACGTGATACACGTTCATACTCTCTTAATATCAGTTTTAAAATAGCTTGTTATCGTAAAAGTAGATTTTAAGTAGACTTGTCGATCTCCGACACTCTATTAGACTTCTAATAACCTTGTGTGAATCATCCACTTCCGGTTCATTTTCGTCGATAAAACAGTAATTTTTACTATCGTATTATAGAAAAAAATCTGTCTCGTAACAAACTATTCAATGATAAAAACCTGCGTGGAATAACAGCAAATTCTTAAACCTAAATCATGTTCAAATTCTTAATTATATCAAATTCCTAAATTTATAGCAAGGTTTTATGTGACATACAACTTTATCTTATTATCAACTACCAAAGTGGTCAAAATGTTCGAAATATAATTTTTTAGAAATTATTTTTTACATATAGATAGGTAATTTTTTCGATATATAATTTCAGAGATTTACCATGCTGAACTTTCTAGAGATTTCAATGACTTTTATAAAGTGCAGTGTCGATTAATCAGAATAAAAGTTTGTGTTCCTTATTGTGTTATAAATTTTTTTCTGTTTCATCACTTTCTCCTATTCCTTGCGCTTCAATTTCTCTCATACAATTTTCTATACTTTAATTGTTGGTAGTTCTAATGATAGACACACAAATTTATTTCGTATTTCTATTTTTTAAATGGATGGCTATTTCGATTGTTTGATAATACTCGTGTTTCTGTATATTTAATTTAGGAGTATTATGCTGCATATAAACAGTCATAGAAACCTACTTGCGAAATTTCAAACTTAAATAACTTAAATAACAGCAATGATTTAAAACAAGAATAAATTTTTTACATTTTATGGATTTTAATTAATTTGTTGGTTTAAATTCGATCTTTTCTAGAATGATTTAAAGTTAGCTTCGATTTGTTTAAAAGAACATATAAATAAATCACAAACACGATCTTACAAAAATCTGTGTGCAATATTGTGTTTTGATTGCAATTACAATGATTACAAGAACATATTTTGTACTTTTCAATGTACCTATGATAATTGTATAGTAAATCGTGATCTTTTGTTCTTACGTTAATATAAAGAACATCAATGTAACATATCTATGTAACTAACAAATAAATTAATGTTCCTAAAATGTTGAAAATTAAATTACTTCATTCAAAAATGAAAAAATTGGCAGGTACAGATGGACTTTCGTGTTTGAAATAAAATAATCTTTGGAACTGTAATCTTTCTAACGATTAATACCTTCGAACGTTCGAATCTTGCAAAAGGGGATGGCCAAACGTTGTTTGTTCCAATCTTTAGGATTATTATAAAACTCAATGGTGCAAAGAAGAAACACTTTCTTCAGAAAAAAACGTGATTTGACTCTTGTTAAGTGAAAGATATTTCAGAGAGAGAACGATCATTTTAAGAATTACAAGGGCGTGCCGAGTATGATCCAATGAAAGACAGAAACCAACAGTGGAAGTGGAAATACAAGTCGTCGAAGATAAAATACACGTGGAACGACTTGAAAGAGGAAATCTCAAGGTTAAACGGATCTGAACTAAAGTGAACCGAAAGTGATCGAAGTGTCCTCCTGATGATGGATTCGATACGAGACCTGAAACGGTTGCTCTATGAGAGGACAGAAGCGCTTCGACGTCGCGACGACGTGATCGAATTGTTGGAAAAGGCTGTGGAGGAACGCGACATCACTATCCATTGTCTGCAAAATGAGATCGACAAATTTCGGCAAATCGTTGACTTCAGTTTGTCATCTGGCGGTATTGGGCCTGCTCAGAAAGCCAAAAGACAAGCGATTTCGGCGGAACCGCTTACCAAAGACACCAGGGTAATCATCAAGTTTCATAAACCGAAAAGGTACAGAGTTCGTCAATTTTCTGCTGTTCGTTTGAACGTATAGATTAAAAGCATTCTAACGTAATTTTAGTCGTAGCTTAACCTAAGCTAACCTAACGTAGTCATCAGGTTTCAGAAACCACAAAGATTCTGACGATCCGAGTTTGTTTTAACTATTGAGTATGTAGATTAAGTTCTGATGCAATTTTCAATTATTTATTTATTGTCAGTCTTATATTTAAAAAAAACTTAACCCATTTTGACTTGGATAGTGGTCAAGTTTCAAAAAGCACAAAGGTATAGGATATGTCAGTTTTTGCTCTTTGTTTGAATGTATAGGTTAGGAACATTCTAACGTAATTTTCATTTGCTTAGTCATTATTTCATCTAATCTAGCTCAAGTAATCATCAAATTTCAAAAACCATAAAGATTCTGACGATCTGAGTTTGTTTTAACTATTGAGTATGTAGATTAAGTGAGTTCTGATACAATTTTCAATTACTTATTGTCAGCCTTATATTTAAAAAAAAACTTAACCCATTTTGACTTGGATAGTGGTCAAGTTTCAAAAAGCACAAAGGTATAGGATATGTCAGTTTTTGCTCTTTGTTTGAATGTATAGGTTAGGAACATTCTAACGTAATTTTTACTTGCTTAATCATTATTTCACCTAATCTAGCTCAAGTAATCATCAAGTTTCAGAAACCATAAAGATTCTGACAATGAGTTTTGTTTTTAACTTTTGAATATGTAGATTAAGTTCTGATGCAATTTTCAATTATTTATTTATTGTCAGTCTTATATTTAAAAAAAACTTAACCCATTTTGACTTGGATAGTGGTCAAGTTTCAAAAAGCACAAAGGTATAGGATATGTCAGTTTTTGCTCTTTGTTTGAATGTATAGGTTAGGAACATTCTAACGTAATTTTCATTTGCTTAGTCATTATTTCATCTAATCTAGCTCAAGTAATCATCAAATTTCAAAAACCATAAAGATTCTGACGATCTGAGTTTGTTTTAACTTTTGAGTATGTAGATTAAGTGAATTTTAATGCAATTTTCAATCATTTGTTATTAGTTCTGTAAAAATCTTAATCTTAATCTTAAGACTTAGATAATTGTCAAGTTTTAAAAAACACAAAGGTATACGATTCGACAGCTTTTTATACTCTTTTTTTTACGTTGCTTTTTTCTAATGCAAATTTCTTAATTATTTTATACAAAATCTTAATTATTTATTTTAGAAAAGACCTAACCTTACTTGTATTTAATTCAACTTATTCCAAGTAATCGTTAAATTCTAGAAACCACAAAGATATTTGCCTCCTTTTTATTCTTTATTTAAGTATGTATAGGTTTAAGTTAGGTACGTTCTAATATAATTTTTAACTATTTAATTTAGAAACGCTTAATTTAATTTGCCTCGATTAATCATCAAATTTTAGAAAACCACAAAAGTGTATATAATTCGTCAACTTTTCATTTTTAGAAATATTTTGTTTCATCTAGTCGTATATTTAAAACAAAATTATTGATTTAAGATTTATCAAGTGCAAGATATTTACATATTAACTATGTACACTTCCGCTTTAGCATACCAGCATATTTTTACATGTATATTTGTGTATAAGAAATTTGAAAATATGTACAGTATGCAATTTAAAATACGCAAAGTATAGTGCTTTTTATATTTCGTAAAACAATTTTCTACTGAGTTTCTATTTTTTTAATTATATTCTCGAAAATATGTATTTATATAAAACTATAATTGGTTACAAAAGTCTACTCACATTTTAATCTTAATTTAATTAATTCATAATTAATTCATTAGTTACAATTAGACCGTCTTTAGAATATCAAAAACATTTCTTCCATTTGTTTAAAGATATAAATAAATCGAAACAAAATCCATCTATATAATAATTTAGCACACGTTTAAATATTTGACGAGTATCTTATTTATATATTGTATTCTACAATAAACAAATATGAAAAAGATCATCACTCAGTATATATAATAAAATAAAATAATAATGAAATTCCTTTAAGTATTTTTCTTTATATTTTATATTTATATTTTAATTTATATTATTATTTTAAATATATTTAAATTGTATTTTTATTTTTCTTTTATATTTTATATTATTATATTATTATTTTAAATAATTAATAAATTAATTAATTAATTATTTAAATAATTAATTTTATATTTTATATAATTATATTATTATTTTAATATATTTAAATTATATTTTTATTTTTCTTCTATATTTTATATTTATATTTTAATTTATATTATATTTTATTTCTTTAATTCTTCTAATATTTTATTTCTTTTAATTTATATTTTATTTTTCTCATTTGAAATTTGGCAGGTGTTATTGAAAACACGACTGAAAAGTGATTGTTTTCCGCAATTTTGTTCATCATTATTACTTGTCGCATTTATCATAAAGGAAACGTCAATTTAAGAAAAGAGTCGCAAAGTTAATGATCAAAATTACGCATTGCAATTCATCACATCACGTAAAATTGATGTGAGTTGATTGCATCCAACTCGATACTCTATACTACTATTGCACTAATCTATCATTGTTGATTTGAAGGCCGTATAGAGAGATCGATTACTCAACGATCATGATCGTAAACTATCATTAAGAGTGAAATTTGGTTAGTTGCGCAACTTCCAGTCACGGTTTCACTTATACAAATCGCATTCGCCGCGAAAGTACGTGACACGGTGTTACATTCAGGCTATTTTTAATTCGCGACACGTGGCTTCGTTAACTTGTGTTGTTTCTTAAGCAACCTCTTTCATCGGCAGCTTTGTTCAATTCGCTGTAAGCGACTCTCGCGCAACTTTCCAAAACAAGCTGCATTCTTTGAACTTTCCCATTCTTCCGTTTTGTTTGACCAAATCATGACATTTGTAAAGTGTTAAAATAAAGTTAATTGAAGAATCATTATTTGTAATGATCTTCTATCAAGCAATTGAAAGGTCGGTATGTAAATTATTTATTAAACGATCAAACGATTTCATCGTGGAATTAAATCGGGAAATTATATTTTCATCTTTCACAATTATTTACTAGTTTATATACAAATTCATTCGTTCTCTCGTTTACAAAAAATTGAAATCTATTTTCGATCGTGTAGACATGCATTTTTCAATTAAAAAAAAAAAAACTACAGTACAATAGTCTGATATGTTACTTATCGGACAACATTGTCTTCTAGCTAATAGCATTCATTCGTTTCGTGAGTCTGTATTTGCATAATTTTCAATTATATTTTATCTGTGATGCTTACTTCTTGAAATTATGTAATTTATATTATTCGTTTATCTTGTGATTTTCCATTTGGCACGAAGAAACACGAACGCAACAGGGTTTAGAAGATTTAAATTCAAAATGTGCAGTTACAATTGATAAACAAAGACCACGAATTAATTTGCATAATTTTCAAGCTTAATAAACGATTAAATGCGAATTATCTCGTAAAGTTGATCAAATGATTTTGTCGGAATATTAAACTGACGAATTACTTTGCTACGCGATGAATACTTTTTACTTTGTACTTTTATTTATTAATCGACTGAATGAAGTATATGATTAATTTATTGAATAATCAAATGATTCAATGATTGTATCTAAATATTATTTGTTGCATGACCGAATGCAAAATGATTCGATGATTTTGTCGTCGAATTCAGTTGGGATATTTATTTCGCTTCGCGATTTTTACAAAACGAATTACGTCGTGGGATAATAAATTCTGCTCTTGCGGTCGCCTCCAACGAACAAATATGATAGCTCAATCAGGAAGATTCTAGGAATCTTCGTAGCAATTTCCGCATTATGTGTCTGCGTATGACATTTAACATTATGTACAGCCGACGTTACAATGGTAATACTCGCGTTTATTCAGCAAGAGAAACATCAAAAGTACCGAACTGTGCTTATCACGCTGCACCTGTTGTACACACGGCAAATTGTGTACTAAGCAAGTACAAGAAAATAGCGTGGTACAAAGCTGAGACACATTCTCGCTTTATTTAGAATGACGACAATACAAAATTGCATTGAATCTTTTTTATCTTTTCACATACGCGAATTTTCTAATTATGACTAGACAGCGGATTTTTTTTATGCTTTATGCTTTATGCTTTTTACAGGAAATTTCAAAGTGCAAAATTTTCATGTGCGCATATTTCAAATTGTCTCTCTGTAATGTGTAAAGTAATAATTTGGTAAATTTTTTTTCCTCTGCATAATTTTTTTCATCCATTTCATGAGAGACTTAAACATTACAGAATGTTTGTAGCAATATAAATATTTATGTTTACATAAAATGTTGTCAGTATAGAGTAATCTTTGCAATATTTAGTAAAGAAAAATAATTTTATATCCAAACGAAAAATGTTTAAGGGGAAAAGCTTCTACCGAAAATTCGACAAGCTGCATTATATATTATTAACATACTCTCTTCACTGATGTTTTAGCACGTAGTTCAACAAAACATTTATTTTCAATTTTCTGAGTTTATTCCGGAGAATAAAACTGTTAATTTCTATAAATAAATATTATTTATTGAACTTTTAATTAATTTTTATATTTTAAGTTTTAATAGGATTTTAATATGATTTTTACTTTGTTCTAATAATTCAGTTTATTTACTATAATTGTTAAATTATTTAATATAAATTATTCAATATAATTATTACTAGTTTATTTCATTATATATATATATATATTACATTATACTACAGTTCTCATTTATTTTATTTTATCTGCATGATATTTTTAAATGAATGAATATCATAATTCCATGTAATATATTTTCAGAGCTATATTATTTATTCAATTATCAGAGAATTAAAAATTATTTTTGAAAGCTTATTGTCTTTCATTTCTCAATGATTTCGTTCTATTATTATATGTATTATCTAGTCCTTCTGTAACAAGGATACTTGGTGAAAAAAATTGTACAAATTTTAAGGGTTCGTTGTAAATGAGAAACTTTAATCTTCAAGATCATGGAATTTAAAAGAAAGCATCTTTAGAGATTAATGCATTAAAGAGCACGTGGTTTTTCGTTTTTAAAAAAATGGCCTTAAAATCTTCGAAACTCTTCCATGTACAAAAAAATTATTGCCATATTTTGTAGCTCCCTTTTTACACTTTTGTGAATGGAGTTTTTTTCATGTTTCCAAAAAACAGCAGAGATAATCAAATGCTAATTCCTACAACAGAAACAACCGTCTCCTATTTGCATAGACATTTCGCATTTTACTAATAATCTTTCGACGATTATAAAGGAAACCTTGAATAGAACAAGATGTCTGATTTTCTTCTTTTTTTTTTCTTTTTATTTTGTTCGCAGATCTCGTGAACTGATCAAAGCAGCCATTTTGGACAATGACTTCATGAAGAACCTGGAGTTAACGCAAATCCGGGAGATCGTGGATTGCATGTATCCTGTTACTTTCTCGGCAGGTTCAACCATCATACGCGAAGGAGATGTTGGATCCATTGTATATGTCATGGAGGGTGAGTCACACATTGTTTTTTTTTTTTTTTGTAATTCACATCATT